ATTAAGGAGAGAAGCGAGCGAGTCTACACCACATGCTTTTTAAGCCGATGCTGCCACGTGCCGATTGTCTCTGACTTTTCTTACGAAAAATTGCTCAGCAAAACCCTCGTGTTTTCAATTGTTTGCAAAATTTACCCTCAACTGAAGAAAAATACAAGAATACCTTCAATTCAATTGGGCCAAAATTTTCCAGTCGAACCTTTGATTTCACCAGTTTGCGCTTGGAAGTATTCTTAACCAGATTACAAATAAACATATGTATATGAATGGTATGTTAAAATTCCAAAGGAACATATACTCTCATTTCCAAAATTCCAACCAAATTCTAGACATACTTATAGGCAAGCCACTTTCAGTTCCAGCCACTTAAGATTCAATACATGAGACATCACAAAACTCTGTTTTTTGCTTGTCCAACTAAGTGTAGCTATCTGTACAATCTCTCATTGTGAAGAATTAGCGTTACACAATGGCTACCAATGAATGAAAGTGCATATTCAACGCAAAGGAAATCGAGATTAGGGTACAATTTGACAAATCTCAACTAAATCAGATGCAGGAAATGACTTCTAAGAGGTATAAAAACAAAACAAAATGCATCCTTTACTCGTGCACAACAAGTAAAATCAAGTCACATAACTCTCTCTACATACAATCTGTATAATTCATAAGTAGTGTCGATGTTTTCTTAAGTTTACCGTGTCCATTTTATGAACAGATACAATACGACAATTGTTGCGATCATACCGGCATATTTGATCCATGTATCAACACGATTCCGCCTCTCAATGAGCCTCAGTACAGAGTTGGAGAGCCCTACGGTGTTCAGAACATCCAAAGCTTTACGCTGTGCCCTCTGAGAATTCAAAAACACACAATGTTAATAATGACATCAAATATGTTTTCCCATTTACTTTGTGCCATATAATTCAAATTATTATTGAGCTTCGGCTAGGGTTACCTTCAAACGATCCCTTTGTTCAGCATATTTGGAGAGTATAGCAACACCACTTGCGTACGAATCTTCTAGCATTCTCTTTGAATTCTTCACGGAGTCCATTGCTTGAGCTTCCTCATCAAATATTTGCAAAATGTGAGCTCCCTCTCCACTCTAAATTACAAAGCAAACCAAACCAGTCTCAAACCGTGTTTCATTTGTATAATCAAATGGGGGCAAAGCGATGATAAGAATATACATACCGCTCTGCCTAACAAATCAGCCTTCTCTTTAGCTTCCAACATCCTTCTCTGATTCCTCCACATGTATTTTTCCAGACTTTGGTTCAAATACTCTGCCTCTTCTCCAACTAGTTCAGTCTTTCTGAGGATAAAAACTCCCAAATTACTTGTGAGCATAGAAGAATTGGAAGAAACTATACTCTAGCGTCGAAGCAACTACTTAAAGAGATTCAGATACCAAAGAGGGAATATCCATTTGGATCATGTGTGAAAAATTTGCAACTTTTCAGGAATCTCAGATCAACAATGTCGAATTCATAAATGCAAAGTGCTTACAATACAACTTTTCAGGCTTCTTGAATCACCAATAACGAATTCGTAAATGCAAAGAAGAATGTATATATTACCCTTTTATATTGAATTCTAGACTAGTCTAAGATCCATGATGTATATCAATTTGGGGAATTTAGAATCGAGAAGAATTTGCTCACCTCCTCCAGAGATCGCGCTGTGATTTAACGGAGATTGATCGCCAGAGACCATCCATGTTGGAGCAGAGAGATTGGACCTCAGTAATGTCTCGTTTCACGGAAGAAACCAGATCGGAAGAATCCATAGGAGCAGCGGATTCGAACCTCTCCAACCTCTCGATTCCATCTCGAGCCCTGAGTAGAATCCTTTTCGCGCTACTATATACCTCCGACAAGGATCCGCCTCCTCCGACCATCCCAGACGCCATTACACAACTCAAAATCAGGCAACCGCCGCAGATCGCCGAACCGCGTCTCTGAATCAGAGATATATATATATATAGCTTAGACATGGATCGAAGGATGATACAATGAGTAAAATATAACAAACAAAGAGCGAATTGAAGGGAAATGAAATCACCTG